AGAAAAAAGAGATCCTAATGTTAAAAGTTACTGATAACTAAAACTTGCCCTTACATTTTTGCATTCTCCCTGGTTGAAGGCCTGAGATTCTGAAGTTGTTCTTGAACTTGACCCTACTAGTTTACATTATGCTGCATTTTAACTGCATCACTGGGCTAGTGAAAAAAAATACACAAAAAACATATGGATTTGATAACTCACCCTGAATACTTAAGAACATCTGTTTTTTGCTATAAACATTTTTTTTTAAAGCCTAAACATGAAGCACTGGTCCAATTCATTAATATTTTGGAATACATTTAATTACTGTATATTACAATAAAACGAGCTGTGTGTTTTTTTTGTAGTTAAAAAGCCAGCATTTTCACATTATCAGTTAAAACCACATTAGAAAGTACATTTTAAAAATTGAAAGTGAGTTTATTGAAAAGAAACGTGTTACTGGGTATTCTAACAGAGAAAATCCCTTGAATATCTACAAAAGCATTTTTAAGAGTTAAAAGAATTACATACCTTGGCAACCATTTGCTAATTTTGAAAGTATTCCCAAGTTTTTATATATTATATTTATTTAAATTGGCCATACGATTTTAATTGGTTTCACTGTGGTAGAATTAGCTTCATTGAAGTAGATGTACTCTCCTACAAGCTGAATAGCAGCCCTATGTAGCACAGATTTCCAGCATAAACTATAATTCATAAAGGCCAACACAACTCTTTTCTTTGTAGCTGGGTAACCATTTATGTTTGAGGTGAAGATGTTAATATGGAAATTTGGTGAGCTAGGAAAGAGGGCGAACGCTATCACTCTAATTTATGACCTTTCATATAAGGCCAAATGTAAAGGCAACTTCAATTGTTTTATATCTCAGGGCCAGCACATAGCAGATGTATGAAATTTGGAGTGTTAGACATAAACTTTTATTACCAAATTATAAATAATTTCTCCCACTTATAATGTTCACCTTTCAAGTTCATCTTGATTAAAATACAAGGGCAGCTTCACACCGATTTCACTGAATTTTACAGCTGAGAGAGGTTTTCTAGAGTTCACAGCGGAGCATAAAGCATCACAGCATTTAGGAGACTGTCCTTCCAGGAGCTCAGACTCTGATCCTGTCTCTTTGAAAATTCAAGTCATGCCAAAATGACGGCTGATGAAGTCCAAACATTATTTAAACATCTCACGTGTTACATCTGAAACCAAGTGCCCATGATTTAGAATATATCCCTTCTTTGGATAAGCAAAGACACACTACTTTTTCTGAGAAATTTGCTCACCAGTCAATAAGCTTGTATCACTTCTTAGAAGGTATTCAACAACCAGAGCGTGTCTATCTCATTTTCTCTTTCTTTTCTTTCTTTTCCTTTTCTTTCTTTTTCTTTCTCTTTCTTTCTCTTTCTCCTTTCTTTCTTTCTTTCTTTCTTTCTTTCTTTCTTTCTTTCTTTCTTTCTTTCTTTCTTTC